TGTTATGTCTAAAGTTTCGTGATTTCCAAATGTCACATGATCATATCTGTCCCTAAGATCTGTCCGTAGATCCTCCGGCGATTCTGGGTAAGATCTATTGGTTATCGTAAATCACATGATAAACATCACCCATTTTCAAAGTTGGAAAATGGGTTACGTAAACGTTTATTATGTGATTTACAATAACCAATAGTCAAAAAACAATAATGAATGACGCATCTTATATGTTGGGCTAAACGCGCCGTAATGCGTATTTTGATTGAAAAAAAACACGAGTATCAAGATAAACTAATTCATTAAATGATGGCATTAATTTTAAAAAAAAACTGTAACAGTTAAATCCATCTAACAACAAATGAAGATTCAAATCTAAATATAACAACAAATAAAGAGCCAAATCTAAGTATAACAACAAATAAAGGGCCATTATTGTTGAAAAAAAAAATTTTTTTTTGATTGAAAGATCAAAATTTTCTAAAAAAAAAGACAGTATTATGTTTGTGAACGATTGTCGGAAACATGAAGGTTGTTTATTTCTCATTTAAGGTCTACTGTTTTTGAAGAAGAAATTGGTTATTTTTTTCTTATTGGAGTAATCAACCTTGGAATATTGCATGCCGGGCCGTCTGGCTTTCAAAGTGTCTAGTTTGCTATTAGTGTATGTTGATTTAATATAAGAGTGTTTAACTAAGTTTTGTAACTGGCTCTTGTGAGTGTTACATCTGTTACTGGTTTTCGGAGATGACAAAGCAGGGAAGGAAGTTTGCGTAATATGGCCACATAATATTTGGCTATTTCTCTCTTTAGCGGTATTACATAAAACAATATAACTTCAAAATATGTGTTTAATACGTATATGTAATAAAAACAATATAATTTTAAAGATTGTAATTATTTATTAATAATAAAACAAATATCTGATAAATAAAAGATGTGTATTAATTGGGAATGAATTTCTATTGTATAATGTTTAATATAGTAAAAATATTATTTAATTTTCGCTTATTTCATGCAATACATTAATAATTGTGATTGATTTAAACATATAGATATTCGATTTTATTTAGCAATGCAATACATAATTATACTAGAATTTACATTTTCTAAATTGTATAGAATTCATAAATTTCAAAAATTCGGGCGTACACCACCAGCCACCACGCTGTCTCATAATTTACAACTACGGTAGAATTAACAATCAGAACATAAATATACAAATACAAATGTGTAGTCTATTCGCCAATCTCATTCATATTTTTCCCATGAATTTGGATAATTCGGCATTATAACCTTTTTTCACCCAAAAAATTAATATAACATTAAATTCATGAAAGATTATTGAATTTCGTATATCTAAGTTTGTTTTCGAAATATTTTATATTTTCTTTTAAAGTGTGATAATCTATAACATAAGAATATATATTATCTTCTGATTATAATTATTCAGGTAATTAAATGATCTCCCTTCCTAACTCGCTTTCAATAACTTTTTTAACCATTTCAGGATCAGCTCTTTCTACATACACGCATCTTTTTTCCCTTTCCAATAGCCCAACGAACTCTGTTGGCAAAATTTCTTGAAATTTGAATTCATTAAATGATTTTAATGATTCTTCAACGGCCGCTGAAAATTTCGCTGGGTGTGCTGTTGCAAGACAAATTTGATATGTATTCCTGTATTAAGTCGAAAATAAATTAGATGTAGTAAAATATTTATTAACATGATTACGGATAAAACTTACGATGAAATCTTTTGCTTATCAGCCGCTGCTACACCAACCGCGGTGTGTGGATCCAAAACATATGAAATTTGAGTTTTGGAGTCTTGTGGTGCATAATAACGACGGATCGTTTCCATTGTCTACTTAATCCAAAATAAATTTATTAAAATTAAATAAATTTAAAATTAAATAAATTCAAAAGGTCACACACTCCAAATCTTACCTCTTGGTCAGATATCCTAGCACTTTTGAAATCTCGTAATGCCAATTCCAACTGTGCTTTTTCCACAATTAAACACTGTTTGGATTTCAAATCCTCCATCCATTTTTTCACAATCGATCCTGCAAGTTTCGTTTTTTCTTCGCTAGATTTATTATCAATGGACTCACACGCAAGATACCATAACAATCTTTCAAAATTACTTGAAACTGTAATGTCCATTGCTGGACTTAAAGTTTCATGTACTATTTGTTTCCCTCTTCCATCGCCTTCACTATTCACTATTTTTTCATATCTCCCCGTTTTAAAAAATCTATCTAGAATATCATTGGAATTTGTAGCTACCACTAGTGTCTCGATTGGTAATCCCATACGTTTAGCATAATAACCTGCTAATATGTCCCCAAAATTACCCGTTGGAACACAATATTGAAGGTGAATATTACTGGCTTCAGGGGAACTTGGCAAAATATTTAACGATGAAAAAAGTTGAAAATACGAATGAAAATAATACACAATTTGTGCTAAAATTCTTGCCCAATTAATGGAATTTACGGCGCCTAAACTATGCTTTTGATTAAATTGATTATCCGAAAATAGTGTTTTTACGATATCCTAATATAACATAATTAAGCTTAATTTATGTATAGGTTTTATGCATTAATAGTATGTATTAATATATTTTTTTTTACCTGACAATCATCAAAAGTTCCTTCGACTGCAAGATTATGAACATTCTTATCCAATACGGTGGTCATTTGAGCTTCTTGCACGAGTGACACTTTGCCTCGGGGATGTAGGATAAATACTGAAATATCTTCTTTATTTCGTAATCCATAAATCGCTGCACTAAATCAAATGTAATTAAAAGAATTAAAAAAAAAAGTATTAGTACATATGTATAGATACACACATATATATATATATATATATTTTTTACCTTCCAGTATCACCACTAGTAGCCCCAAGAATTGTAATCCTTTCTTTTTTGGTCATGTTTTTTCCGTCTAAACTCTCCTCCAAGTTCTTTTTTTTCAATAAATACTCAAATAAATTTCCCAAAAATTGCAACGCAATATCTTTGAAAGCGAATGTAGGCCCATGAAATAATTCTAGTATATAAAAATTTTCTCTTATTTTTTTTAACGGAGTAATATCAGGCGTCTTGAACGTTGAATACGATTTATTAATTAATCTTTCTAAATCTTTGCGAGGAATTTCGTCGTCAGGTATATAAAGTGAAAAAATTTCAAGGGCAAGAGAGGTGAACGAATGCTTTAACCAGGCAGTTTTCCAGTCTGAGGGTAGTGTTGGAGTCGTCTGCGGAATAAAAAGTCCACCATCTTTAGACAAGCCTATTAAGACTACTTCTGAGAATGTGAAAAGATCTGACGAGCCTCTTGTTGAAAAATATTTCATCTTTTTTCAAATAAAATAAGTTTGATAACAGATAATCAATAATGATCTGCAACCTCAAAAAAAAAAAAGAGAAAAATTATGAGGGTTTAGTTCACTTCCAGTCAAAAATTAGTAAAAATCGATTCCCTAGTGGTTTAATATTCTATATGGAGTAAAAACAATAAAGCATTTACTCATTTGGTTTAGACCTACCAATTGATGCACTTAATAATCCTAGTGAATTTTAAAGCGAAACGCCAAATTTCATTATGGCTATTTAAAAAGCGTTGTTCATGATTCATACCATATTAAATCTATTCTATGTGTCAAAAAAAATGACACCTATTCGTATCATGTGACATCAAAACTGACAGTTCTGAACTGTCCCTAGAAAGTCCAGTCCGGACCAGTGATGGAAATTCATAAGACAGTATGATTTTTGTGAACATACTTTGTTTTATATCATGTTCACATTAAAAAAAAATAAGTTCATAAATATAATTTTATTAATTAAATAAATATTATTTATGTTCACAAATGTGAACATAAAATAAAAAAATTTTGATTTTTTTAAAAAATTTATGCTCTTGTGAACACTGTGAACATATGATTTCCAACACTGGTCCGGACCTGTCCAAACCCGTTCCACGCGGCATCCTATATATAACATGGTGTTATAAATATAACTTTCCAAAAAAAAAAAAAACCATAATTACGTTTTCTTCGACACTATGGTATGTGTTATTACAAATAATAACATTAAATCGTTGTTTTATAAAGTTTTTAATTAATTACGTATCAGTATTTCTAACCCATCCTTTCCAAAACCTGCAAATGCTCCGACAGATCAATTTAATAAGAATAACGAATCGAAAATCATTATGAATAATATCAATGAAGACATTAAATTGTCAGAAGAGGATATGTGGGATTTCTCGTTTGAACCACCGAAACATTGGAAAGGCATTAGGTTCCAGCTTTCAGTCAACAACACTGGTAAATGATGTTTCATCAGATTCTGATACGGAACAAATTTATGAAAAGACTCCTTGATCAAACAAATCTTGGATATCTAAAGAACCCACAAAACTTCCCATTAAATTGCCTGATGGTAAAATAAGACATCAAGAGTCTAATAATGACTCTAGTAATGAAAATGGCGAAGGAAAAGAAAATTCATCTTCAGATAGTGATAATCATGATGAGAATCTGCAAGATGACATGAAGGCTAATGAAGTAGATGAGGATGTTGCCGAATTTATTTCCATTCAAAATATATCAAGCAATAATGATATCACTCAGAAGAAAGAAGAGTTGGCCACAATAGCTCAAATGGTTATTGAAGACCCAGAAAATAACGTAATGCAATTTTAAATATCCACATTTGAGCTTTCTTATGATTTAAATATTAAATTTGCCATAATAATATAAGATCAAGCAACTTAAAATTTTGAGAGAAATCGCGACGAGTAATAATCTAACAATCAAGAAGTTGGCACTATTGACCCAGCCTGTAGTATATAAAGATATCATTCCTGGGTATGGCTTCGATATGTACCATGTTCGTCTTTAATGTATTTGACTCTCATATAAATCATAAACTTCAACCTTTATAGTTATCGGATACGACAATTGACTGATAAAGAAAATACGAACTAAAAGGTTAAATATCTGTTATGTATAATTGACATTTTGTTGCAACATTTGTTATAACGATTTGAAATAAACAAAGGTATCCGAAGAATACGACTTTTTGAACAAAGCCTTGTATCTAATTTATCAGGCCTATTATTATATAAAAAAAATCAGTAGCAGCTTCTTTTTTATTTTTTTTTTTATAATTCGGCAATCCTGCCCTTGTTTATTTGGGATCAAGTTATTCAAAAATACAAGTACTTTATCTCTAACTAAAGTAGATCCAACCAAACGAAG